GATTTTAATGGTCTTGTTTACAGACACACTGCTAGAGGTAAACTGCTTATTGGAACATCCATTTCAGAGCATTGTTTGGTCTGGTTTTAGAGAACAGGAGCCTCTCTCCTAGTGTTGTGGATGACGTCATTGTTTCGCGAATCCTTGGGGGCCGTAGAAAGAATCAGAAATGTTGAAATAGAGCCTCATTACCACGTTAGCAAAATTGGACAACTGTTAGGTTCTAGGTTCTCTTATCAGTTTTGTTTCGCTCAATTTGCTTTTGTTTGTTTTGACAAACCCCAGGAGTAGGGAGTCTAATAAGAAGACACTATGGTAGAAATATTTTGTTATCTCTACTATGAATCCTGGGAAATGCAAAACCACTTTTACATGGTATCTTTCCATAAAGAAAATAGGGTTTGTTTGTTTTTCTTTCCTGTAAGGTAGTACACAATTCATTTTCATAACATGATTTACAGAGTTTGAGACAATATATAGTTTTTGCTTATCAAAGATAACCTTTGGAGAACTGCGAGGCCTTCACCCTAACAAGATCCAGAGAAAATCGTCCTTGTTGTGCTCTGGTGATGACGTGGGCAAGGAAGAACATGCTTCCTAAATGGGAGAAGGGAGGTTATCTTCCGCCTTAGGGGCTTCATGCTCCTTAGAGTTGGCCTTGACTTTGGTCAAATTGTGTTCAGATTCCCCAGAAAAGTACTCAGAAAAGATTTACTTTGAATTTCTTTATAAAGTAGGAGAAATACATTAATTATATCTAGTAGTTTGTTGAAGTGCATAAATAACCTCAGAAGACCTAATATAAACAGATGTTGTAGAACAAATTAGACCAATGAGCTTTCTTTCATTTTGAGGAGGGATCAGCAATGTCCGCGGGACAGTGTCCACCTATGGAATGTGGCAGATCAGATTGACTTGCATTTTCTCACGCCATTAGGAAGATTGAAATTCAGCACTGTTTGGAGACAGACGTGATTAGAGCAGAAACTTCTGGACTAGGCTTTATGGACAACTATGTGGTCAAAGTATGGTTAAAAGAGGTCACTGAAGCCTCAGAAACTGCATGTGAAAGTTGTGTGGTGCTGAGTTGTTATCTATTACATTGTTTCCCTGAGCAGATGACATCTTAAGACCAGAGGTGTAATTTCTAGTCTAATTTGGTGAAGTCTTTTTGTTTTGTTTCCATCTCTGCCATTAGACTTTTCCTGCTCTTCTACAGTGGGTTAATGGGTATTTAACGTGGCGTTCACGGGCCATGGATGTATTTTCTTGACGTTGTCTACAGAATTTAGTGTGCATATGGGTTTTGTATGTATGTGAGTGTTTCTGGCGGGGGTTCCTATCTTTCATTAAGTTCTCAAATCAAATGCTGTGTGGCTCCCAAAGATGAACAAACAAGTCACTAATTTAGAGACTAGCCGGAGTTCCCTCATTTAGGACGCAGCCCCTTTGGCCCCACAAGCCTTCATAGTCACGTGGCCCCTCGGTTCAGTGCTCTGTTAAGTGTGAAGCCCATGATAAGTGATGGCCTTTATTTTTATGTAAATTTGACATAGGATTGAGAGTCAGCTCTAAACTCCTGGAAATTGTTGGATACCATTTGTATCATTTCTCCATTGGCTATTTCTTTGCAGCACACTACTTCGGCTCTGGTCTTTAGACAATGATCACCCAACAATAATCTACCCATGAAAATCTTCAGCAGTATATTCTTATCTTTGCAACTATAATCTATCCTGAGCTACATAATTGGTTCTTTTTTTTTTTCAGATAGAGTGGGAGAGAGAGAGAGAGGAAGGGGGAGAGAGAGAGAGAAACATCGACGTGAAGGGACACATCGAGTGGCTGCCACCCACACGACCAACCAGGGCCGGGGACAAACCGCAACCGAAGTACATGCCCTTAGCGAGAACCGAACCCGGGTCTCTCTGGACCGCAGGCCGACGCTCTAACCGCTGAGCCAAACTAGCCAGGGCCATAATTGGTTCTTAAGAGGATGTTCTTTTTTTAAAAAATCTTTTTGTTTTTTTTCAGCCTGAGAGAAATTAGATACCTTAGGCAGGAATTCTTTGAGCTTTCAGGTATACTCTACTGATGTTTCCAGGAGCTTTCATTCTTCTGTTGATTGTTTTTGGTTGTCCTTTATCTTCCCTTAAGCAAGATTTATTCAAATGGAGGAAGGAGAGAAGAGGAAGGTTGCTCAGGGATTAGATGAGCGGGTGCTTGGGGGACTTTCTGTTCCTGCCAAATGATCTTTTCTAAATAAGTATTGAATATTTTTCTTTTAATTTCCCAATCGTAGTGTGAATTCTTCTTTGCCAAATGGCTTTTGGGGCTTTGCCTAAGCCCCATGTGCCAGAGTTGAGGATTCATCTTGGCCAGACATTGCCACATATTAAAGAGGGAGCCGTTTCCAGGAAAGCTCAGAGAACCATGGCTCCTAGAAATCTTTCCTTGATTGTAGGAGCCAGGCCTTGACACTTTTGACCATCTGGAAAATTTTGGACCCGAGCACCAATATCTGTCTCATACATATTTTTCTTTTCATTTCCTAAGTCTTTTTTTTTTTATACTTTTTCAGTTGAGTTATATATTAGTATTTTATCTACATACTCTAAGAAATTGTGTGACTGAGGGCTGCAAAGAAAGTCATCAGAAAAAGAGTTGATGTACATATACATTGCTGTTCTTTGTGCCATTATGATGCTCAATAAACAGCTTTGGAATGAATAAATCTGGAAACTTTTTCCTGACATACTATTAGTGAAAAGTTTATTTTTTCAAGTACTCTTGGGCAAGTAATGATTTCATCTCTCCTTCACTCTCCCTAGTGTGTGCCTTCTGTAGTGTGCATCTCCCTATGTACTTAATGCTACATACAGTTAATGCCTCTGCTCTGTTTCCATAGCCTCTGTTGTGTATAGTGGTGATCAACCTATTTCTTTCTAGATGCAGATAGTATCTCCAAAATGCTGGAACATAGAGTCTGTACAACTAGGGAACATTCTATTTTGCTGTGGCTGTACTTGACGTACTGCTCATTAGTACTCTGCTTTTAGTACTATTCCTAAAGCCAAATATAAAAGTGATCCTGGATGTCTTGCAGAAATAACTCTGGTGGTTTGAATATTGCTCATTTTTTTGTGTGTTTTTCTTTTTTCTTTTCTATAAATTAGCCATTTGAACCTGTTAATATATTCAACCTTTTATTTATTTATTTTACCTTTTAGGTAACAGATTTATGAATTTGCTGTGATAAATCAGTGATTTAAAAAATATCTACTCTGTATTAAGCGCAGTATCAAACATAAGACATATCTTTGCCTACAGAGTATTTATAGTCTATTTCAGAGAGTAAGAGACACACCCTCAAAAGTTAATGAATGAAATGGTACTATATATGATAGTGCATATTATTCTTAGAATAAAATACTTTTGTGGTACTGAAAATTAGAAAATTAAACATTCAGTTGACATTTACTGAGTGGCTGCCATGTGCTAAGGCAGAGGCATTGAAAGTTAAGTCAAGTTTAGTGCCAAATTTATTTATTTATTTATTTAACCTTATCTTTATTGTTGAATATATAACAGATGTTCCCCCATTTTTGCCCCCATTGACTCCCTCCTCCCCATTCCCACCCCTTCTGCCTTCCTCACATGTTGTCTATGTCCATTGGTTATGCATATATGCATAGAAGTTCTTCGGTTTATCTCTTCCCGCCCCCCTCCCCCCTTCCCTTTGAGATTCCTTTATTACTAGTGACCTGAGAGTACATTGCGGTGACCCTGGTAGGTCGTCCCTATGACAAAAGTAAAGGTGCCTCAGAATTACAGGGCCAGCAGCCTCTGGGAGATGCAGAGTAGCCCAGCACTGAGCGCGCCGTCCCTGATGATTGTCTAGACCCCAAGCATAGATCTAGACCATTTAATCCTCATAAGGATTATGGCTGAGGTGTGCTGCTATTCCCAGTGTATCACCCAGCCTGTGTCTTTACAGCTAAAGTCCTTTTTTGTCTTTTCCCTCCCGATCCTTTTATGGTGTTCTATGGTGAGTTCAGTTTGTTGAAATATGTGATCGTTGGGTCTGGCCTCCTCCCCTCCCCCCATATAGAAAGCCAGTGTGAGACATGTTTGTATGAAAGCTTCTGTTCAGTATCTCTGTATCAACTCTTTTGCTTTCCTACATTCATGCTGATTGACCTTGTGCTCCAGGAGGACACTGCTGAACCCACTGGGTCCTGCTCCCCTTACATACAGGTGCTGTCTGAGGCTGCTAATGATGACACTGGTAACCACAATAGTCCTTGATCTACCAAAGTGCCATCGTTTTCCTATCCAGGCTCCTGGTTTTCTTCCCTGTTTTTCTTTTCTTTTTGTTGACTGGGGCTGTACAGGATCAGCTTTTATTCTGTGTGTCCTCTGTGCTTCATTTCTCTGGAAAACCCCTTCGAGCTAATAGCTGGGATGATGAAAGCGCTGGCAGCTCCGCTTGGCAGCCCCTCTCCCTTCGCTTTCGACACTTTTGTTTGGCAGCGCTCACTCCAGTTTCAGGAGATTGGAACTTACCTGGAGGAGAAGAAAGCCATTTCTCCGGGCGTCCAGAGGGATGGCCCGCCCTCGGGGGGTTCTGGGCTCCAGTTTTCAGCTTAGTCATTCGACTTGAAGGATGAGGTAGTCCTGAGGGAGGTAACTTTTCTGCCTTTGCCAATTTAGAAAACAATGTGTTCCGTTTGTTTGTGTTCCTCTATTACTGGGAGCTGAATCATGTTTTGTTGAGATTAGTGTGAGTTGAACCATATGATAGAGCCATTTTTGTAGTGAAAAATGGTCAAATATTGGCAGTATCATCTGGTTCAACCTGGTATATCTTATCCACGAATCTGAACTAGCTTATAGCCTGCTGCTTGTAATGCCAAGCTTTGAAAAAGCATTCCAGATGCTCCGCTACGTGATTTTAATGGAAAGTCAGTACTAAGATTCCTCTCTCTCTTGCTTCCTAGGTCACTCTGCACCTGAATCCCATCTCCTCCGTCCACATTCACCACAAGCCTGTCGTGTTCCTGCTCAACTCCCCACAGCCCCTTGTCTGGCATCTAAAGACAGAGCGGCTTGCGATCGGCGTCTCCAGACGTTTTTTGGTAAGTGTTTGAAACCCTCCTACAGAGATCCTTAGCAGAAGGATATAATGACCCTAAAACTTTGCAAGGCTTTCTCATTGAAATAATACCAGAGTCCACAGTGTGTTAAATTTGGAGTATGCTCTTAATGATATTTGGATGACGTAGATAAGCATTCACAGAAAACAAACACCACTTACAGGCCTTCTGTGGATGGAGCGTCAAGTCTAGTTTGCACATTAGAGCAGGACCTGCGGTCATACTCTGTGTGGCCTGAGCTTTGGTCTCAACTCTGAGACCCCCCTCATGGCAACACGAGCAATGTAAATATTGTAAATAGCCACTAGGTGTGTGGTCTCTGACCACAAACTAAAGACGTGCAAACACATTCTGTTTGTATATATAACATAGGCCTCATTTCTGATATGAGGATCTGTTTGTTGAGAAAGTGACACAGTGAGCTCCAAAATGAAAACATTTGTATTTTATAAAAACGCTGGAACCCAGCTCTTGTGGAAAGATCCAAATATTACCTACTATTTGTAAATCATGTCCTTTTGAGTTTGCCAGAACATTCAAGTTTGCTAGTTGTGGAGCAATTGATGGGTTGTTTGGATGGATTTTTGGGGTATGATATCATGTCTGATGATGAGCAACACTGCACTTCACAGTGATAGCTCACGTTGTCTATTGCTGATGTCCTCAAGTGCAGAGCCTTAGGCTTTTAAACCTTTGCCCACAGGCATTCAAAATAGGAAGAAGCCTTGGTTAATAGTGTTTCTCTTGCATTATGGATAAATTTTTCCTAATTAATTACTCTTAATCCGGGTCTGTAGTTTCTTGTCACTTGTATTTGAAGAGTACTTTAAAAAGGGGGTGGAGGGGGACAACTATAATCATTTCAATAATAAAGATAAATTTAAATAAATTTTTTTTCTTTATTGATTTTAGAGAGAGAGGAGAGGGAAAGAGAGAGAGAGAAACATCGATGAGAGAGAACACCAATTGACCACCTCCTGCTTGCCCCCCACTGGGGATTTGGCCCACAACCTGGGCATGTGCCCTGACCGGGAATCAAAAAGTGGCAACCTCATGATGCATGGGTCAATGAATAAATATTTTCTTAAAAAACAAAACAAAACACCTCAGTTGTACTCATTAAATAATGGAAGAATCCATAGTCAGTGCAGTTAATAAGTAGATGAATAGATGAGCAAAGAGGGTAGAAGGGAAAGATCCTCTCTGTCTTAGAAGCCCATCAATACATGTAGAAGGAATGATGGGGTTTGAAAACCATCATAGTAAAAGTTAATTACACCAGAGTCATTAATACACACTAAATCTTGTGGAGGTGGAGCAAGTTTGTGGGACAATACATTTGCATAGTCTCAAGTTACTTATTAATAACAAACAAAAAAATCATAACTAAATGTAACAGAGATACCCAGCAATACCTTACCAAGGGATCAAAATTAACCACACGGTGCAGATGGGCATCATGTGTTTCTAGATGTGAAAACCTGAGAACAAACACGGCATCACCTCGGTAGTATTGAACCTAATCACGAGGAAACATTGCAGAAAACCAGATTGAATGACATTCTATAAAATAACTGGCCTATGCCTTCAAAAATGTAAGTCATGAAAGACAAAGAGAGGCCCAGGAGCCATTCCAGATTGAAGGAGACTCAGAAGACACATGTGATCCTGACCTGGATCGTCTTGGGAAGGGAGGGGGCCATTGCTATAAAGGACATTATCAGGATAACAGACAAAATTGGAATTGGGCTTTTAGATTAAAGTGTGGTATCAATGCTATATTTCCTGAATTTAATAATTGTACAATTGTCATGTAAGCGATTATCTTCCTTAGGAAACATAATATACTTAAGTATTAAGGGATAAAGGGCCAAATAATTCAGAAAAACTTACAATGTGTAGATACAATAATAAAGCAAATATGGCAACATGTTGAAAACTAGAAAATTTAGTTAAAGGGGACATAAGAATTCTTTGTACTATATTTTCAACTTTTTCAATGTGACTTAATATCAAAATTTAAAAAGTTTTAACTTAAAAGTACATTTACAAGGTAGGAGTTACTAATAACTTAAATTCTAGCCTTTTTGAGAATTTTAAAACTCTTACTACTTCTAAGTTAAAAAGGCCAAAAGTCAGAGTTGTTACTATTACTACTACTAGCACATTTATTTAGCTCTTGATATTATAATAAGTTCTCTGATACTTCATCTTGTTTAATTCTCACAAAAACCCTATGATGATGTGGGTGTTTACCCCATTTTACAGATGTATTTACAGATTAGGAACTAAGACTTAGGTTAAGTAAGGACCTAAATCAAACGGCTAATTAGTGGCAGAGCTGGGACTCAAACCCAGATAAGACTTACTCTATAAACTCGAATGGCAAATTGGCTCCCTTTATACTCATATTCATTGTCAATCTCCTGTAGTGAAAGGTATTTGTGAGGCTAATGGCCATGATCATAAGGTCACATTTAGCCCTTGTAATCCAGAGCTGTGCTATCCAATATAGTAGGCACTAGCTCTGTATGGCTATTTAAATTTAAACTAAAATCAGAAATACAGTTTCTAGGTACACGAGCCACATTTCAGGTGCTTGACAGCTACATGAAGCTAGAGGCTACCACACTGGGCAGGTAATGAAGGGGTTATGAGTAAAGGGTTTGCCTACCTTGGTTTGAATCCAAGCAGTAACCTGAGGCAAGTTATTTAATTTTTCTAAGCCTGACTTTCCTCAGTTGTAATATAGGAATAATAATAGTCCCTGTGTCATGGGGTTACTATCTTGATGAAATGAGATTACATATAAAATGAGTGGTACAGGGATTGGCACCATAACTTCAGAGATATTACCTGCCATTTCTGTTGCTGTTTATTATTAGTCATAGTAAGGAACACTTGGGAAGGATGTTGAATTTACATTTGTAATTATGAAGTGTCTAGGTTGGCCAGCCCCAGATTGAAAGGTGTTCTGATTTCTCTGGGCTGTATGTCCAGAGAAGAGTGGGCCACATATATCCAAGTGGTACTGGTCACTTTCTGGATTCCTTCTTCAACCTGCCACTCCATGGGTTTTGAGAGAAAGTATCTTACTCCTAGTTATTATTTATCTGCTTTACTTTTGTTTAAGATCTATTAACAACTGCCTCTTGGCCCTCAGTTTAAGACACACTAACAGTGAAAAAAAAAAAAAAAAAGAAGACAGTTTTAGTAAACAATTTAACATCAACCCCATTGGGAGTTAGTCCCATGTAAGGAGATTGCAGATCAAGGGATGAACCTAAAATTACCGACATGGGAAAGGCGGCTTTGGGAGAAGTGATGGATTTAAATTCTGGGACATCAGCTCTGACTTGTTGTCCAGCAGGCTTTCTTTAGGGAAATGGTTTTCTCCCATCTGTACATTTCTTCATGGCCTGGAAGAGATGGTGGAACATGTGTTGTTCATTCGGGTTCTCAGCTCAGCAGACGACGAGTGATGCAAATTCTGTTATAAGCTGGGCAGCTCTCCCAATAGAGGGTGCCCCGAGGTGAAGAAGGCGGGCTCTCCCTGCCTGAAGGGAACTTCAGGGTCTGCTCATCTGCTTGACAGCCATTGCTGCAGAGGGATCCGCTGGAGAGAGAATCAGTGTGTTCTGTTTATCTATTTATAATAGTTGAGTTTGGAGATAAGATGACTAAGTTATTTTGCATGAAGTGTTTCATCCAAACTTCAGAAGGCCCATGGAATCTTTGGAAACTTAGCTGTGTCCACCACTGTCCTCTCCGAGGTTAGAGACCTCAGAGGAGTTGAGGAAAGATGTTGGGTCTCTTGACTCTCAGTTTAAGACTCGGATGCCCTTGCGTCCTTCCTGATAGGCTGCTGAGGATTTGTATTACTATCTTAAAGCTGTCTTTACTTGCTAGGTAGTTATAATACTTTAACAGTTGTTGTTTTTTCTCTCTCTCTCTTTTTTTAAGTAGGGTGGTAAGAAAAGTTCAAATAATGGCATCTACTCATCCATCAGGTGAACTTTAAATTTAAGTCAACTGTCTGCATTATGATAACTACCCAAATTAAAAAAGGAAACCTTTCATAATTAGTAAACAGGGCATGTGTTACTCAGAATGTCTCAGCTACCCACAAGGGTGACTAAAAACATTACACAGCAGGTCCTCAAAGAGCGTTGTTTTGTTCAACATCATTTTGTTATAACTGTTGAAAGGGGGAAAAAAATGGATTCCTAGCGGGGCCACTGTCTGTGTGGCGTTTGCACATTCTCCTCATGTCTGTATGGGTTTTCTCTGGGGACTCTAGTTTCCTCCCACATCCCAGAGATGTGCCTGTCGGTTTCATCAGCATGTCTGAACGCCCAGTCTGAGGGAGTGTGGGTGGGTAGGGGTGGCCCTGAGATGGAAGGGCGTCCTCTCCAGGGTGGGTTCCCACCGTGCACCCTGAGCTGCCAGGTCAGGCTCTGGCCACCCTCAACCCTGATCAGAAATAAGTAGGTGGGGAAAAGAAAAAGAAAAAAATAACAAAAGAAAAGAAGAAAAAAGAGATGAAAAAAAAAAAAAGAAGAAGAAGAAAGAAAGAAGTAGGTGGGAAAAGAATTTTCTTATTTTTATTAATCTTTCTTCATTGTGTCTATAGCGCACACTTATTTCAGTGGTTAATATTAGAAATGTTTTGGGTCTTTATTTAGATTTTGGTTGATGTTTCTGTGACCAGAGACATACCAGAGGGACTTAACTCTTGTTTATATCAATTAGCCTGTGGTAGAATTGGTTTCATTATACGTTGTTTTGCCTAAAGTTGCTGTTTTCACAAACCTGTCAGCGATATTGAAGAATTACTGTACTTTAATACTGTCTAATAAAGGTATCTTTTTTTTTTTTTTTGTCACATCATTCTAGTCGTTCTCATGATTCCACAGTGCAGGCAAGAGGGAGCATGCCAGGCAGTTTTCTCTGCAAGTGTATAGTTCCTTTGTCTGGTTGTT